TAACTTAAGTAATTCCCATATAAGGTTTAATATATGCTGTATTTGATAAATAAATTTAAGGCAGTAGAGCTTGCTACCTTAATTAAATCGAAATGTTTCAGTTGTGTTTTTAGCTTCTTTCTTTCTCTAACAAAATTTGACAATCTAATTTTTCCCATTATTTGAATATCAAATACTTAAATGAGATGTGACTTAACTATATCAGAAGAGGGAGCTAAATTTATTTTAAAGTGAGATTGTTTTTCTTTGGAAGAAGCCAGCAGACCTGCTGAATGCATGCAGCAGTGTGTACTCCTCTACTGGGCTTGAAAAACATTGCACTGGAGATGTCAGGACCCCAGGCCTACAGAGCAGGGGATGCTGTCATTACTGCAGTAGATTTTTATTGGCAGTATTTACAAATAACTTCCTTTTAAGTGAATTATTTTCCTTTTCACTTTCTTTCTTTTAAAATTTTGCTTAACTTGTAACTTAAATGATATCAGGTATAAGAATAAAGGTCTTAACAGCACGTTCCACAGACCTGGGTACCCAGCACCTCAGTGATCTCCCTAGGCCCCGCAGTGGGGGAAGAAGGGGTGAGTAGTAGTGCTGAGATGGTCGACAACTATGGAAAGTAACACGATGGTGTGGTTCAGTGGTTCAAAGGCTCTTCAACCTTTTGTAACACTCGAGCAAAAGGGTTTATTCTTCTTCTTCTTTTTTTTTTTTAGAAGAAATCCACACATTTTTTCCAGCAACTAAAATCTGCTTCACATGAAAACAGCTTCAAATGTCTATTTATGCCAACCATTTCAGAAAAGCAAAGTAGAGTAAGGTCATGTTTTTGTTATATTTTCATATTCTACGTTTCCCCCCATTTTTCCTCTACCTAGAGGAGAGTGGGCACACCAGCTCCCATCTGTTAACTTTAGAGTTTATCTTCATATGTAGTCAAACCTTGTTCATAGGTTCTTTAACTTATGCCATCGCTCATCTTTGAAATTTCTGAAGCTATATTTCTGACTAAAGTTCTGGTAACTTGGTCCAGAAAGAAGTGATATCTATTTGTCCTAGCTAGGGGCCTATGCAGAAGAAACTGCATCTTGTTGCCTGTGGTTATTGAAGATAAGAGCTTGTTTTCATAATTACAGGCTCAAGTTTTCAGTTAAGAATTAGTGAGTTGTAGTCAAAGGAGGAGAAAGGATTTGTTAATTTTTTGATTTCTCAACTAGTGTTGACAAACTTGGAGTAGAAAGTATAAAATTTCAATTTTGTACTCTAAATTCTTATTTTAATCAGTAACACTCTCATTTTTTGGCTCTACTATTTATTTTGTCTTAAAAGCCCTGAATTTGGGGCAGCCTGTTTCTTGATTGCCATGTGGGATGTCAAAGGCTGTGACACCAATCTGTCAGCAGTGCACTGGCAGCTGTCTCAAGCCCGTGACCAGGCATGTGGGGAATGCTCCAGTCTTGCCTTCTCATACACCTTTGTAACGTAGTTTACTCTTCAATTTGTACAGAATAGTTAGAATATTCTACCAAAGTTGTGAAACATAAATCTGGCAAAAACACAGAAAAGACAAGACAAAACACAAACCATAAACTTCTGTGGGCTGAAAATGGGAGAGGGGTTGGTGAGATAGAGTTAGTGTTGGACACATGTGAAAGTCCCCAAGGAGGAGGACCCCTGTGTGCTCTCTAAAGGAGGGAATAGCATCCCAAGGAGTATGAGCGTTTGTCCTCTATCTCACTTCCTTTCTGAAACCACCCAAGGAGGCTGCCACACAGGTTATGAGGAACCTAGTCCACCATGTCAGGAAAATCATAAAATGCAGGGTCAAGGGGAGAGTTTCCATTAGAGCTTTGATGGCCCTGGGGCATCATGGAAGAGCTTCCCCAAGTCCTTGAGGAGGGCACAGCTTTTAGGGGAGGGAGAGAGAGACACAGATACTGATTTGGTGGATCTATGAAAGTCCCACATTCTTGATGAGGGACACACAGAGAAAGAGGGGTGGGCCATAAGACCAGAGACTATGTGTGGTGGGGGGGAACTCAGTGAATGCTGATGTGGACCATCTTCCGAAGACTGAGTGGGATCGTAATCTCACTAGATGGCAGCAGAGTGTAGGGCCTGGGATATGAAGAGGCTCAGCTATGTCCCCTGCACCCCAAACCCTACACTTGCCACCACTGCTCCTTGCCATGAAATTTCTTCAGGAATTTATATGCCATCTCTGGGGGAAGGACAGAAAGTGACAAACCAAATTGTGGAGTTTAACTTGGAATGAATGAGTTTACTCTTGTAGTAAAATTTCATTTTTTGCTTTCAAATCCAGCCTGTAGCGCCACTAAATCCCAGAATTGTATAAGCTCGAATTCCTTAATGAGTTCCTTATTTTTTATCACTCATGGGTGTTCTATTTCTCTAATTAAACTCTGTCTGTTTGATATTGGTCACAGGAATAAAACCTCAAGGATGGGTATTCTCAATTGGTTCTGGATTATCTGGAATTGGTCCTTGGATGAGATTAGATTTAAAGGCAGTAATAACTTTGTTTTCATTGGTAAGGAGGGCACTTGTCCATGGCATGCAATGGCAAAACAGTTACTTAATTTATCACCTGTGGTCACCTGTAATCCAACACCTATACAAGGCAAAATTTTCTTTTTGGGTAGTCATAAATAGGTTCAGTTCTTTTAGACAGACTTTGGGTGGAGAATTTAAAATCTTGAGCTCATATTTTTCTTTCTTCAAGTTCTCCAGTTCACCTGGATGCTACCAACTCACCCCTTTATACTCCTTATTTTAGGGTGAGCAACCACCCTGGTTTGTCCGGAATTGAGGACTCCAGTGGCCCGGGAGGTGGGGTGGGGGGGTGCTCCCACGGCTTCCCAGCCTGCTGGGCCTGGCCAGCTCCTCCCCTGCCCCAGCAGGGCTGCCGGGAGGGCTCTGGGCCGCCCGGGGAAAGCCAAATCGCCAAAAACTCAAGCAGCCTCCAGCCCACCTGGGAGGCCGCGTGTCCTCACGCTCTGCCTTCTCTGTTTCCAGTGGGTGCTCAGAGCCACCCCCCAAAAGGAGCCCAGACAAAGCCTCTGGGTAAGGCCCAGCCTTACGTCCCACCCAGGAATCGGGTACCCTGCCTGTCAGTTATTCATTGCGCTCAAATGTGTGTCCCCCTGGGGCCAGCTGGGCTTGCCACCTCTGCCCCCAAGGCCTTCAGTGCCACCCTCCCCAGGCGGTCTCCCTGGACCCAACCGACAGATTGGGACCAAAATGCCAGCACAAGTTGGGAGCC